TCTCTCTCTCTCTCTCTCTCTCTCTCTCTCTCTCTCTCTCTCTCTCTGTGTGTGTGTGTGTGTGTGTGTGTGTGTGTGTTTCTGGGTGTTATGTGTAGGAGTGGCCTTGTAACTAGTAGCCATGTAAAACATGAATTTGAAAGAGAGTGAAGAGGGATGTGTGGGAAAATTTGTTTGGAAGAAAGGAAATAAGGAGATCTAATTATATTACAATCTCAAAAAATGGAAGAAATAATTTTTAAACATTAAGAAAATTATAGGCCTGCAAAAAAACAATCAATTAAAAAGAACATTGTGTGTGACCTTATGAGACAGATAAGTCATTGATGTTCTTGATAGAGATAAAGGCCTGGTGCTGATCAATCTGAGGATAGCTCAGTGAGATCAATGGTAGAAGGAGAGAATAGACTCCTGTCCTTAAGCCATCCTTTAGTGTCCACCCATGTACTATAGCATTCAAGTATGCATGTGAGTGTACACACACACACACACACACACACACACACACATGCACACACAGTGAATAAATGTACAAATGCTTTCTATATGCTTTGGTGTGAGTTTGTCAGATTTCCTGGAACTGGAGTTACATATAGTTGTGAGGTGCCATGTGGGGGCTGAGAAATAAACCTGGGTACTTTGGAAGAACAACCAGTGCTCTTAACCAAAGATCCATCTCTCCAGCCCAACAAATTCTTTTAAAAGTAAAACATTCTTTAATTATAATGTTTTGGTTAGATTTTTCTGATTATCAGAGAATAAAATAATCATGGAGGTAAAGCAGTGTTTCCTTGGAAGATATATTGATTTCTACACAGATTTCTACTAAAGAAGAAAAATATTAGAAAAATTAAAGTAAATAAAAAATAAAGAAGTAGATAGATGAAATAATATAGTATGTTTGTTTTCATTCTTATACTTTTTACAAGGACATAAATTTTCCTGAATGACAGTACATGATTATATCTCATAGAAAGACAAAAAGACAGTAAAAAAACAAGTCTACCAACTGAGTGAGGATCAAGTATCACAGGGGTCCCAGACAGAAGCCTATCGTATCAGCTCTCAGGAAAGCCTATATGTACACAGACATAAATATAGATACATAATACATACATAAACACACATGCAAATGCACATATACATATATATACACATATGTATACATATATATACACACATATACATATATACTTATATGTATACATATATGCACACACATGCATATACATATACACATGTATATACATATATGTATATGCATGTGTGTGTGTTTGTGTATGCTTCTGCATGTGTGTGTGTTTATTTCTTACTTTTAAATTTTATGTTGTTTTTTTCCATTTTAAGAGCACCAGTAACAAGAATCATAAACAAATATAACGGTGTTGCAATAGGTTTATGATGGATCTAATCAATTCATGTGAGAGCCAAGGAAATAACTTCTTAACAGGAAAAAACGGAAGCAAAGATAAACTCAGGGACACAGGTTGCATGTTTCAGCTTGAATGGATGTCATTCTGTGAAAATTTTTATGAGGAAAAAAGTACTCTATGAGAATTTCTCCATAAGGAATCTTGAATGCAGACTGTGTTACATAATGCATGTTAGCAGTTTACCACAAGTTACATGACAATCATTTAATCAAAGGCTCTTGAGTAAACAGTCTCTACTTTATAGAAATAAATAAAAATCATATAATTGTACCTAAGAACAACTTGACATAAAATAGTTATAAATTGGTTCAAATTAATTTGATATACAGGAGAAAAAATTTATCATTTAAAAATGCTACACGAGAAAGAAGATTGATGCTTTTACTATAATCATGAACATATAGGTCACTACTAATTAAACCATGGAATGTTTGTAATTTGTAATGATGTATATTTCATGTAAATTGGAATTAACAATTTAATTTTGTTTTCTTACAACTGCACATTGATTATGAACCACATTTTCTCCACAGTTTCTTAATTGCTACTTTTACATCTTTGTTCCTCAAACTGTAGATGATAGGATTCAGCATGGGTATCACAATGGTATAAAATATTGACACTACCATGTCATGATTTGAAGCATAGCTGGAACTAGGCCTCATATAGCTGAAAAGGATTGTACCATGGTAAATAGAGACTCCAGTGAGGTGAGAGCCACATGTAGAGAACACTTTTCTCCTACCCTCAGTGGAATGCATGCTCAGAATGGCAAAGAGGATGAATCCATAGGAGACTAGAACAATCAAGATGGTGACAATTTCAATCATTCCCACCAAGTACAAGAGTAGAAGCTCATTTGTGTGGGTATCAGAACAAGAAAGAGCAAGCAATGCAGGGATGTCACAGAAGACGTGCCTAATTTCATTGGATCCACAGAAGGACAGACTGAAAGTGGCCACTGTGTGTATAGCACCATGCACAACCCCACCAGCATATGAAGCAATGATGAGTGGCAGGTATACCCTGGGTGACATGGTCACTGCATACAGAAGTGGTTTGTAGATGGCTACATATCGGTCATACGCCATTGCTGCCAGCAGAAAGCATTCTGTAGTTCCTAAAGTAACAAAGAGAAGCATTTGGGTTGCACATGCAAGGAATGAAATGGACTTATTTTCACTTAGAAAGTTGACCAACATTTTGGGTGTAACAACTGTAGAATAGCAGGCATCCAGGAAAGACAAAACACTTAGGAAATAGTACATGGGGTTGTGTAGCTGACAATCCCCAATGACCAAAATAACCAGTCCAAAGTTTCCTATCAGAGTAAAGAGATAAATAGCAAGAAACAGTAAAAATAGGAAGACTTGGAGTTCAAAGTCATCTGTGAAGCCCAAGAGTATAAACATGGCAGCTTCAGTCATGTTCTTTAACGGAATCTTGTGAACATCCACAGCTATTGCGATCCTTTCCATTTTGGTTTTGATTTATATATTTCCCAGAAAAGTTTCTGTACATCTGTGTCTATGTTTGATTCTTAGAGCATCCTGATCACCTAGGTAGTGAGATGGACAATGATAAATAATATGATGAAAGTGGTGATATTTTACAATATGTGGTAAAAGGAAAAGATAATTACACTTAATTATTGAATGTATTTATAAAGTTAAAAAATCCAGCAACTAAAGTAGCTTTGTTATTTAAATAGTTTTCTATCACTCTGTTCAAATTATACTTAAAAAATTTATTTTCATTATTCTGCATTTTCTTTAACAATATTGTTTTTGTACGTATGTATGTATGTATGTATGTATTTGTGGATTATGTATTTCAATATATTTAATTGAAATAGATTGAATCATCTTATCCTCTCTCTTTTCTTCCTTAATTCTCTCCCATGTGCCCTTACACAAACTTACAACTTGATAGCCTATTTTTCTTTATTATTGTTATTACAAATGTAATAATGCGTACACAATTAGGAAAATACAACCTCTGGGTCTTTTATTTTTTTTTTTTTTTTAGTTTGTATATGTTTTCAGGGATGACCACTCTGTACAAGACAACCTTTAACAGTCTTATCCCTGGGAGAAGATAATTCTCCTTCTCCCAACAATGCTTTGATTACCTAGGCTCTGTTTAGGGTAAGGTCCCATGAAAATTTCCTTCCCCTTCCATTTCAGTATATCCATTGATATTACCATAGTCTGGGATCTGTTTTTTTCACCAATTCTATTTTCAAACACTCATGAATATAGGTGGAATTCACTTCACATTCAAATTGTTATAGCAGAAAAGTACAAACTTGTATAGTAGTTCTCCTTTAGCTCTACATACATGAAACACTCTTCCTTAATATTTCAGAGTTTTAAAATGAGAATCTATACTTTGACCACTGGTAAATTTTAATGTGAACAATTATAGTAATGGTTTTTAAAAAGAAGATAGTTTAAAATCACTTTTATCTCTACTGTAAGTCTCAACAAAACACAATTCACTGAACCTTTTAAGTACTCATGAGGTGATTTCTGCACAATGATTTTTTTTCTCCATGTCAATGGCCAACAGTTTACAAAATGCTAAAAGTTTGTACATACAAGTGTAGGAGTCATACAGTCAAGTAAACATATGCATTAATAATATGAAGCATGGTAAAACCTGCCAAATTAAATTGATCATTAAAATCAATAAAAGGAAAAATTGACTTAACTGATTTTAAAACAAGAAGGAAATTACGTAATTACATTGTCCCAGAAGGTCTTCAAAGCCTATGTGAATGTTTTGTTCTAGTATATAGATATGTTTGTAAATGTGCGCCTTCAGAACAAAAATATTTACTACTTCATAGATAATTTTACAGTAAAATATAAAAACATAATCAAATTTAGTTTGTGCAAACATGGATAATTTAAATATTATAAATAAAAATATATGGAAATATTTTAATACACGGTTTTATTTGATATTTATTTTAATAATTAGCTTATAAAATAATCTCATCAGTTAATTACACAAATCTGAAAAATATAAATTTATGGACTTAAAAAATACATTTAATAATTTTCTGTTACCTTCCTTGTCTCATTTCTCATTATCTTTCAAAATTCATAATGAAATGTATTCAGACATCTTTACTGAAAAGGGCAAGGACAAAAAGAAGTAATCAAATAAAACTAAGCACAGTAAAAATAATTAATATGGAAATGGAGTTTCAAAATTATTTATAGTCTACTAATCAAACATAACAAAATTCATCTTGGATTGCTATTCACCAAAGGAATGTCACACATCATGCAATTCTATGATTTTATTTTCTACTCTAAGATCTGAAATAAAGCAACTGCAGAGGACTAAGAATTGCAGACAGTCTAAATCCTGATGTTAGACTCTCTGAGAAGCATCATTGACAGACAGTGTGAGGTTAGAAAATTCTAATTAAGATTAATGTGGTCACAGTTGACTCCTTTTACCACCTAAACACAGATTACCAAAGAGAATTTTATGTATCCACTAAGATATGTTTACCTGAATAAACATTTTAATAATTTTCAGGATATATATGTATAAATTATAAGTCTGAAATTTTATTCATGTAACAGAATGTTAAAGGAAAGTTAACTTACTGCTCAAATAACACATTAAACAATTAGTGAAACACAAACAGAGAATACATATATATCACAACATCTTCTTTTGAAGTTAAATAAAATTATTCTCTTCATTATTATATAATGGAAAAAGTCTATTTCTGTAACTATTTTTCTGGCCTTAGAATATATTAGTATAATAAATATTGTTTTACTTAAATTACCTTAATACTTTGGCAAATCAAATTTTTAGTAAATATACTTTTGATATGGATTGGAAAAAAGAAGACAGTGTCTGAATTGATATAAATTTTATTTCTAATGAGCTTTTCTTGATTCATTGTATGGGTCACTGTTAGAACTTTAGACATGACAAAGAAAATACCAAAGCTTGCTATTTTTTTCCAAGATTAGAGTTGAATAAATATTTATCTTCAGTTACACTTAAAGATAGTGGAAATTTTGGATAATAATCCGACAAATATTCTATTTTTATTTAATATAAATGCAAACTCTATGCATGAGATATTTGAACTATAATATTCTCAGTCAAAAATGTAAGTTACAAATAAATTTCTCAATCTTCATAATCAAATCCATGGCAATAATATTGGAAATATTAAAATGAAGTTGAAAAATTATAGTAAAATTATGTACATAAGGAGCAACAGTAATAACTTATAAATGATGTGACCATTTCTCTTGATATACATAATAACTTATGAAATAAACATTGTAATATCAGCTTATAAAAAATCATGGTTCAAGTAGGTGTACAATATGCCCTTCCAGATCATTATCTAATAGATAAAGCAGCATTTAATATTTGAGTTCTATCCCAGCATACTGCATACTTTCTCCATGACTATACTATGTCTTTTTGTCTACTGACATATCTGAAAATATAACTTCATAAAAATAAAAGAAGATAAAATTTTTATTTGGCAATATTAAATGAAAAATACTGCATTTGAATAACCTGTACAGTGGAAAAGAAATGGTTAAAATTACTTTAAATCCATGGTCAGTAAAATGATTTTAATAAGATTCTAATAACTGAGTTGGAAGTCAAATTTACAGAAAATGAATTCAGAAAAAATCCTATCCATAAAAACTCACTGAAAGTTAACTTTCTACTCTAACTTCTTTCATCAAAAACATTAAGTCAAACTTGAGAGTTATTTCCAAAATATGTGAATAATTATTCATCCTTTTTCATTTTTCTTCTTTTAAGTTATTGGTTCAATTTGCAACATAACTCTGTTTAGTAGGATGTTCTATATCATATTTTAAGTATTTACTCAAACTTAAAATCAACTTTATCTTTTAAAGCAACTTATAAATAAAGAAAATCTCTACTCTTACTTACAAAAATGAGCTGCTTGGTCTGTTAGGTAATGGTAAATTCATAATGCATGAGAACAAACCACATCCTCCAGAACTTAAAGGTCTCAGTGAAGCCCCTGGGAGAATCCATGTTATTCACTAGCACAGAAACTTCTCACTTTTTTTTAAAGACATAAACAAGGGAATGATCTTAAGAAAATGAACTAAGTCCTGACAATGACTACATTGAAGCAATTCTGTTTTTGTTTAAACTATGTGTTATTTCACATAGGAAATATATTCCACTCATAAAGTCACAGATCCATTTCTAAGTATACTTACATGATGTGTTTACAACCATGTGGAAAATGCTATGAACAAGCTGGAATTCAGCATCTTTAAAAACAGTTTACTTGGTTTTAAAGTATCCTGCTTCAAAATGGTATGAGACTTAGATATATGCACATGAGAATAACAATAGGAAAGAAGATATAGGAATTAGAATCAGAAATGATGGCAAGAGAGATGAAAAACAGTGTACAGGTATTATTGCCCAGTGAAATATGGGAATATTAGTTCTGCTGCAGAGTGGAATTTCAAGTATTTGAGTTCATAGAGTTGGCAATTTTAGTCTCTGTCTCTCTATTTCTCTGTCTCTCTGTCTCTTTGTCTCTGCCTCTGTCTCTATGTCTCTTATCTATCTCTTTATTTCTTTGGTTAATTTTTGTTTGTGTTGTTGTTGCTATTGTTGTTTGTTTGTTTTAATTTACATTCTATTCCCATATTTATATATAGGCACATAACTGGTGAAAGCAAAAAAATCTATACCTTTTCCAATTATTCCCTTGTTGTCCCTTAAAATATAACTAGGTACTAGTCACTAAAATAGTATGTTTAATATTACCTCACTAGTAATCTCAGATTCATCTCTCAGATACATGAAAATATAAATAAATTCAAAAATCTAAATTAAAATCTGGTTTTTGTTTGATCAAACCAAAAATCAAAAAGCATATCAAGTTTTATAATTTGAAGAAAATTTGTCTTTTTACTTAAACATACTAATTCTTCATAGTTGATACATATTTTTATTTCATAGGAAATGATATATGAATACAAATTTTCAAAATGATGTTACATTTTCCTGCCCCCAACATTTCATCAGTATATTTCTTAACATAAACATGTATACACATGTACACACTCACATACACACACATATGCACAATACAAAGATATGTGGACACATACATCTTTTCTTTCTTTCTTTTTTTTATTTGGAGAGGCTTGACTAGTACAGTTTTTATGTTCATGGCTTATGGCTTACTCTGACCTACAATGGAATGATTTTTTTCTTTTTTGGATTGTTAGCAATTTTCCTTTTACTTTCTCTAGCCTCACTTTCTTACATGTTAATTTATTGATCTTTTTTCCCCATATGTGCTAATGTTAAAACTTGAAAACAATATTTATGAGGGATATAATGACTCTAAATACATATTTAATTGTCTGTATTTTTAGACACTTCCTCTTAGGTCCACATAAAAAATTTATGTACATGT